AATAATACTGATAAATTGCACTGAAGTGTGGAGTGATTTAGTTCAACACTGTAGATCTTAGATTACTAGCAGGTTATTGTGCTTCACACACTGAGTCAAAGGGCTTGATTCTTTATAGAAATGTTTGTTTACTTCAATATTTACAACTTAAAGTTTGGATTTTTATTCGCAATTGATTCTTTTTCTGAACAAAAAAAATGAAGCGTTCTGAAATGGATGCATGTTTTACACAAAATTCAAGGGTTAATGTTATTGTGTGACTATGTGGGATCAATTAATTACTATAATTGCTCAGTGATGAATGTATTTTAAATGTTTTTGCATTCTTGTGTCCAGAATTAAAACATTCTCATTCAGAAAGTTCACATCTTGTTGTTTTGTATCTCTCTTAATTTCCTTTCAGAGTTGATTATACAAATCGCAGGTTAGTACAGGTTGTGGCCAAAATAAAATTAGAAGGTAGCAAGATAAAGAATCTTACAGTAAGTTACAAAGTTAATTCATGTATTACTACAGTTGGTCACTTTACAAAAGGACATAAAAATCTCTGACAGACTCCCAAATATTGCTGCCCATCAAAGGTTAACAGCCTCAACTGTTCACTTTCTAATTCTGTCATCTGACTCCTTACACCAACAATCATCACAGCTAAACAACAATGTAAAGGCCAAGAAATTACACACAACTTTAAAGTTGAATACTTGTTCCACTAATATTTAAAAGAAAAAGGTTTTTAAAACTGAGGCAAATTTCATCAAATGGGTTTAAACAGTTGAGCTGAAACAAAAATAGCTTGTGTTCCCATCAGACTGTGAGCACCATCTTTTGCAGGCTCCACAGAGACAAAGGGAGAGCATTTAGATTTATTTATTTTTTAAAGAAAAATCACCTAAATCGACAACATGGATGGGAACAGCAGGAATGTAACTGAGAATATTGCTGAAGTAAAGCTTTAATGTACTTTTACTTTATTTAGGTTTTTCTATGCTACCTTCTGCTTTTACTCCACTGTGTTTATAATGTAAAGATTAGACTTTGTACTCCATGCTGAAATGCAGAGGAGAGCAAGCGTTGTCAATTGCAGCTCCAATGCTTTGGAATAACCTTCCCCTCCATATTAGACAAGCGTTATCAGTGCAGGTTTTTAAGTCCAGATTGAAGACCTTTTTTATTCCCTGGCTTTTAACTCTGCAGGAAACTGACACATTTCTTATTAATTTTATTGTATTTTTAATAATTTTATTGTATTTTAAATTTTGCTTGTTGTTTTGATCTGTGTTGTTCAGCACTTTGGTCTGCCTGGTGTGTTTTTAAAGTGCTATACAAATAAACAATGATGATGATGATGATGATGTGAATTCAATTCAATTCAATTCAATTTTATTTATATAGCGCCAAATCACAACAAAAGTCGCCTCAAGGCGCTTCATAGATACAGAGA